TATATATATAATTTTTTTAAACAAAATGTAATTGGATTTCTTGTTCATATTTCTTGATGTCTCATACAATATGAAATACTTCTAATTATTCAGATACCAAAACAAGAATAAAAAAAACGCTTTAAACCTGTTATGTAGACTCAGTGCAGCAGTCTCTATTCTCTGATATTTTCAATGAGTCTCGAATGCAACGCAAACACGTGTCGCATTCCTGTCTCGTTTCTCACGTAGCAGGTATAAATACAGGTTCAAATATTAGGCACCAGCAGCACCTCTCCCGTCCTGACTAGGTATAAGGATGTACAATAATAGATGGATGGATAGGTGGATGGAGGGATGGATAGTAGAAGATTTGTTTGCATATTGGCTCTTAAACTGAACAGAAAACTAATTATAGTCTACTAAAGACTATAATAAACTAGCTTTTCCATTATCACTTATTTTTTAAATGCACTTGTACTTTTTAGAAAAGTGGTGTTGATTCGAAAATCAAAAAGAAAATTTTGCAAACCCCCAACACATACATTAACACAAAAGAGTTAATCACTGACTTACTTTCTCCACCAGGGGGAGCCCGTGCTTTTAGTTCTCACAGGATTGTTTTTTTTTTTGTTGTTGTTGTTGTTTGTTTTGCTTTTGTTTTTTGTTTTTTTGTTGTTGTTTTTTTCACTTAGTCAGCTTCGTACGTCTTCTTTATCTTTAATGTTTTCTACTAAAGGGCATTTTAGTTTCAGAGTTTGGTTTCTTTGCAAATTTTGTAAGGCTCGACATTTAGATTTTTTTTTTTCTCGTTTTCTTCCTAAGCTCCGGTCCTCTGCGCAGCTCCAATGTCTAAAACAAGCGCACCAGAGTTCCTTTGACAGAACGTGTTGATGACGCCTTCATCTACAACAACAACAACAGAACTCAGCTGCTGTGAAGCTAACTAGCCGGCCTAGTTATTCTGAATTTTTTTTTAAATATTTTAGTTTTCGTATTTTTTTTTTATTGGTGTCTTAATAGTTACTTACTCATTCGGGTATGAAGTTAATGCTATAAAATCTCGACTTTAGTTTTTTATTTGTTTTGAATTTGAAAGTCTTTGTCTGCTAGCATGTTAGCTTTAAAACCGAGTATAACTCGGAGCCTCTCCTCTTCCAGCTGAAGGTAACGCATTTATTTAAACATACTGTTTGTGCAATATGCATCCATACAATCTGCATGTAGCGTTTACTGTGCAAACGTTTGAACTTTATCAGAGTGTACCAGGTATTCTTACAGAAACTAGAAGGTGAGGATGTGAATAACCGAGCTGAGATGACTAGCCTTAATGTTCCAAGAAGCTAAGCTGTAATCCAAATGCTTGATATGTGAACGCGTGGATGTTAAATGCGGTTTTAAATCACATTCATATTGGGAACGTAAACAAGTCCAGCAGGGTCGAGCTCAAATCGTGGCAGGGCAGCTTTTGCGGCACTTCCGTATTATTATTTCTAGCCTTTAGAGTGTAAATATCAACTATAGTATACATGTATTTTACAGAATTTCACAGCAAATATTTTAACGTAGGCATGTGTCCAGAAATTCCCAGAAAAAAAGTAAACTTCCAATAGTATGAAATTACAAAATGTAAAAAAAAAAAAAAAAAAAAATGTGTAGGAAGAATGCATTCTGCTTTATGCTCAACAATTTACAGCCTTGAGGCTCTTCTTACCTGGACATTTGCTGAATTAATTAAAAGATAATAAATGTCCATTTTGAAGTATTCCGACTTTTAAGTGGAAGTGGTCTGCTATAATATACGAGAAGCTTACCAAACAATCTGTAAATCTCTTTACTTGCCTTGTGTAATAATAGTAATTTAAAAATAAAACTAGTCTTGCTTTGTATGACCAGTGAAACATAGAGAGATAAGCCACAGATGTAAGAGGCTTAGCTTTTCAGAACGCTGCACAGAGAAAATCTGTTTCAACATTTAATGTTGCCCAACTATAAATCCATTTATTTTTGGCTTACCTGGCAGTTTAGAAGAAGGTTTTCTTCTTTGGAGCTTCAGAGTATTTGGGGTATTTGGTTGGGTATTTATGACATCAGAGACCAAGTGAACGCTACACGAGCCAGAACACTGTCAGTGCATGCCCGTAAAAACACTTGTATAACTGTGTGTGGAAAAGCAACATCAAGTCTAATGAATGCAGACGTTAAAAAAAGGGTAAAATAATGTATGTCTCTCTAGAAACGCTGCAAAGACGATCTGTAGCGAAGTGTGGAACAAAACTGGTGTAAATCTAGTAACTGTTTTTTCTCTTCAGGACTTTCACTGCCAGCTGTAAATCAGAACCACAGTAAATCCCTTCTCCACTGCCAAAAGAATAGAAAACCAAAAGCAATAATAATGTTAAAATCTTACAACAGTACAATGAAAACGTGTGCATCTGAGTAAAGTAGAATACAATTCCAACAATTTTATTTGAGCAATTGTGTCCTTAAAGTAAAACTCAAATAGATTCATTTTCCACAGTAATGTATTTCACACATTTATTTCTGGTATTTCTTGTAATATCAAAAATTATGGCCTACAGCTTATGAAAAGTCAGAATGTACCTGAATATTGCATAAGACCTACAAAAAACGAGTTTAAACAGAAATGCTACTTTATGTATGCCCAGGGGTGAAAGTAGTTTTAAATTTCTTGGGGGTACTATGACA